TTAACCTATTTCAAATCAGCACAAAAGCTGACGAGGCGGCAAGCTCGATGGTCACTATATCTTACACGGTTCAACATCCAACTACATCACAAACCAGGAAAATCAATGCATCGCGCAGATCCTCTGTCCAGGAGGCCAGATCATGAAGAGGGGGTAAATCTCGATAATGCCGACAAGACTCTGCTCAAACTGAAATATTTCATGATTAAAGCTATTCAACATACCCATCTTGCAGTCGTCACAGATCATGATTTGATGGACAAGATCAAGGAGGCACTACAAGACGACAATGTGAACAACTCATACAAAGACCTACTCAAGAAAGGACAACGAGAGTTCTCGAAAGGACTCGAAGACTGGAACTTCGAAAGTGGGATATTATTATACTGAGGCAAAATCTATGTGCCGAAAGCAGATAATAAGGAATCACTTAGACGAGAAATCATTCAGCATCATCATGAAGCTGCCAGTGCAGGTCATCCTGGAAGATGGAAGACATATGAGATGTTATCTCGTAATTACTGGTGGCCGGGAATGTCCACTTACGTCAAAAAGTATGTTGGTTCTTGCGACCTTTGTCAACGCAACAAGAACATCAATCAGCCAAAATACGGAGAATTACAGCCAAATGAGGTTCCAACAGAACCTTGGGAAATTATCTCTGTCGACTTAAGCACTCAATTACCAGAATCCCATGGATTCAACGCAATCATGGTAGTGGTCGATCATTTGACCAAACGAGCGCATTTCTTTGCAATCACCAATGAGTTCTCAGCATCAGACCTTGCCCATACTTTCTATGAGAGGGTATGGACACAGCATGGTCTTCCGAGACAGATTATCTCAGATAGAGGTACTCAGTTTGCGAGCACATTATTCCAAGAAGTATGCAAGCTCCTTGGGATACAATCAACAATGTCGTCCGCGTATCATCCGGAGACCGATGGTCAAACTGAAAGAACAAATCAGTCGCTGGAGCAATATCTTCATATTTATACTGACAGACGCGTGGAAGATTGGAGTATATTACTGCCAACTGCCGAGTTCACCTATAACAATCAGGCTTCTGAAGCCACTAAGAATTCACCATTCTTTGTCGAATATGGTAGACATCCACATGCAGAACCAACAATAATGGACCCCATAAAGCATCATACGCTAGATTCCATAATGCAGGCATGAGTAGAAGCGCAAGAGCAAGCAAAAGCAGCCATTCTATTGGCAGCTGAGCGCATAAAGTGGTACTACGATCAATCCGTATGACCCGCACCTTTCAAAGTTGGAGATCAAGTATTACTCTCCACTAAAGATTGGCAGACATCGGGAGCCAAATTGGCACAACGGAGAGATGGACCCTTCGAAATCGTAGAAAAACTAGGACCAGTCACATATAGACTCAAAATGCCGTGACAATATGGTGTTCATCCAGTTTTTCATGCGTCCAAGCTCACGCTCTACCACAAAGATAAAATACCAGACTGCACTCTCAGACCCCATCCTCCTATCAAGAAGAAGACTGGCGAAGAATGGGAAGTCGAATACATAGTCGACTCTCGTGTCATTCATGGCAAACTTCAATATTTGGTGCATTGGAAGGGTTATTCTAAAGCCGAAGAAACTTGGGAACCCACAGCAAATTTGAAGAAATCTCCGCGTCTCATCAAGGAATTTCACAGAAAATATCCTGACACACCTCAACCAATATCTGTCATTGATACAACTCCGGTCGATGGCGTTTTTCCACCCAGGAGAACAGGTCAAGTCTACGACCCCGTCACTGATACCATTCAGATATACGATCAGGATAGAGATGATTGGGATCATTCTAGAGATCTTCAAATTACATTAGACAATCCAAATGCACACGCACCAAAATATGCCCATGAAGACGATGCTGGAATGGATTTAGCTGCATCAGAACCAACAACCATCCGAGCACACTCAAGAGGATTGATATCCACAGGACTTCACTTTACAACATCTCGAGGGACCTATGGTCGAATTGCACCACGAAGTGGTTAGCTGTCAAAGGCATCGACGTAGGTGCTGGTGTTATCGACAGAGGATACACAGGCGAAATCAAAATTTTGCTAATCAATAATACAAATGATGACTTCACAGTCAATTTGGGCGATCGAGTTGCTCAACTTATCATTGAACGTATTATCACCCCTGTCGTTTCACTGGTTGATTACCTCAAACCCTCAGCCCGAGGTCACCGTGGATTTGGTTCAAC